TATAGCTTGTAGGAGTGCCTCTCTTGTGTTTATTTTGGCCCGTTTGATGACTCTGTGTCATGGTATTTGCTTCTTTGTGGTGAATCTCCCAGGAGTCCTTGAGCTTCTTGTACCTGGATATCTAGATTTCTAGCAAGGCCAGGGAAATTTTCCTCAATTATTTCCTCAAGTAGGTTTTCTAACCCTTGTGTATTTTCTTCTTCACCCTCAGGGATGCCTGTGTTTCTTATGTTAGGTCTCTTTACATAATCGCATATTTCTTGTAGGCTTTGTTTGTTCCTCTTATTTCTCTACTCTGTCTCTGTGACTGATTAGTTGAAAGGTGTTGTCTTCAAGCTTTGATATTGTTTCTTCTACCTAATCTAACCTATTCTTAAGGCTTTTCACTGTGTTTTGTAATTTGTTGAATGAATTTTTTGTTTGATTTTTCTTTAATAATTCAATTTCATTAGTGAATTTTTCATTCATTTCTTGCATTTTTTTTTGGTTTCTTTGTGTTGGGTTTCCATTTTATTTTGTATTTCATTGAGCTTCCTTATAATCCATGTTTAAAATTCTTCATCTCTCATTTCAATATTCTGATTTTGGTTGATATCCATTGCTGGAGAGCCGGTGTTCCCTTTTGGGGGTGTCCTTTTGCTTTGGTTTTTCATACTTCCAGAGTTATTTTGCTGATTCCTTCTCATCTGGAGCAGCTGTCGCTTCTTACTTTTGGATTTTCTTTTGTTTAGATAATGACATGCCCAGTTTAATCTCTCTCGTGTTCTCTTTTATTACTTCTGTGTACTGAAATTTTACATTAGATCTTTGATAATTTGAAGTTTATCTTTGTAGTACAATATAAGATATGGTTCTAAGTCTATATTTTTCCAGATCGCTATCCAATTGTCTTAACACTATTTAGGTTCTCTTCATTGGGGTATTAGGCAATTTTAATTTTCGATTTCTTTTGTTATTTTGATGTAACAGAGTAAAGAAAAATAAATCAAGTACAACAAAATGTCAACGCGTTACAAGATAAATATTTTCAGGAAAAAGAAGAGAATCGATTCCACACCTCAGATGGAATGAATAAGAGGCTGGAAGACATTTGTGATATAGTAAAGAATCCTTATTTCTTGTTTCACCAAAAAAGCGGTGATTAGAAACTCTAGGGAAAACAGATGACTGCATAAGAAAGATATAAAGCAAGTTGAAATTTGGAATGGTTTTGAGAAATTGATAGAGGGTAAGAAGAGAAGTTATTTTGGTCCTGAGCCTAGTAAAATCATCCTTCAAGTAGCTCACTGGACCTATAGAAAGGGAAATGAGTATTAGCACCCTATTGGGCTCTGCATTAAACAATATCTATATTGATTGTGATAATGTAAATACTGGTCCACTTCTAGAATTAACCCATAAACAAAGCATGGAAAACTTAATTATGGTTATAGAACAAAACTTAAATGCTATTAACTTTGTCAGTGCAAAAGTAACGATGTGGCAAGAAGTTAATATTGAAATATCCAGCAATAATTTTTCAAGTTGATGGAACAAGAAATAGAGGAACAAGTTTACAATTTAAAGTTTATGTAGCTATAAAGTTTAGTGATTCTTACCACACCTCAGATGTTCAGTTTAAAATGATCCTAGTAGGTGAACTTGTTTTCTGATTATGTGGAAAAATTAAAAAATGGTTCTTATAATTGAGAACAGAAATTACCATTGTAGCTGTATTTCTGTTGTAAAAACACCTTCTTACAGTGTCTTGAACTAATCATAAGTTTTATCTTTTGTTTTGCCTAATTTCTTTTTTCTTAATAAATCTTGAAAAAGTATTACATTTTTTCCTACTAAAAAGTTGTCAATAAAGGAGTATGTTCATTTTGTTTAAGTAATTTATTCTTTTAGCATTTCTTCTTAAATTGTTTTATTTGCTGTCATTCATGAATATTTAATTATCTATATAATAAAGAGCATTTTCAGAGCAAGAAATTCCTTATATGGCTGACCTTCTATGCAAGAGCTGTAAAGATTTATTTTGCCTTGTTTAACCTATGACATAGTACAGGTGATGTGTAGGGTATTTCATGGTCTGCTGAACATTGTGATTCCCCTCCCCCAAAATTGAAGAAAGTAAGTGAAGTTTCTGTTCAATTAAGGATCTGATACAAATCCAGTAGGCAAGGAAGTCTCTCAGCCAATATGTGGCAACTTTCCTCCCTCCTGTACTTTGCTCGTTGCTTACTTCTCTTTTTCCCTTTTTCCTTTCATAAGATCATACTCTACTATGTGCTAAGTAGCAGGAATTCAAAATCAGATAAGTGCCTTTTCTTATGGAGCTCGTAGTCCAGGGAGTCTACTTATTGAACTCCAAAACAAAACAAAGTCACACACCAAAAACTGAATTATTTTTGCTTTAATGTATTCTTTTAATGTGTTCCATTTCTATTTAAACACAGTAACTTGTTAGTTCATTTCAAAGGGATGGGTTTAGAGCAGGGCAGCTTTCCTGTATCTAAATTATGTCACAAAACTCTGTTTATAAAGATAATATGCCTAGGGGCTAAATAAACATACTTTGCTAATTTTTCTGTAGATTTTAAATAAACTGTTTGTGCCTATCAGTGACTTATTACATAGTCCTGTGATAAGACACTGTTCCTGAGCTTCAATTGTCCTTTAGTTAAAATGAAGAAATTGAACTACATCAGCATTTTCCAAACAAGGCCATTTATGAAGCAATAACATACCTGTATTCTCTACCCTGGGTAACAGGAGTTAGGAAGTGGAGAAAAAGGCTTCATTAAACCTCCCAGAAAAGACATGAATAAGAATGAATAGGTTGAATGTGGTAAAAACGAGACTGGGAGTAATGGGATAGATGATCTCTAAGATTTTCAGCTCTAAAGGTCTGTTTTATTTCACTAAATTTAAACTTACTGAATTCGTAAGATATTAATTCCTCTTATAGAACTGAAGGCATATTTAATACAAAATGGGTTGTTTCTACTATTGAAACCTAATTTTATTAGGCCATACCTAATCACATTGACAAAAGGAAATTAACTTCCCAGAGTTTTGAGTTTATACATTTATCCATGAGGAATTCTTAGACATTTGAGCCATATGGCCAGCATTTAATTTTTTCTATCCTGGTTAATGACAACTCTCTTTTTCCAGTTGCATATATTTTTCAGCTCTCCCTTCAGAGTATATCTAGCATCTAACCACTTCTCACTGTATCCACTACTAATACCCTAGTCCTTTATCATCCTCTTTCATCTGGACTATTGCAGTAGCCTATAAGATGGTTTTCCTACCACAATCTCTGTTCCCTTCTAATGTTAATAGTGAGAGTGAGCCTTTGAAAAACGAAGGCTGTGTCATATTTGTGCTTAGAACTCTCTAGTCGCTTTCTGTCTCCTTCATTGTAAAAACCTAAATCCCTATCACAAATTACAAAGCCTAAATTATTTGAGTCTCCCTACCTTCCCTTGCTCCTCTCTGAACTTATCTTTTGATGTTCTTCCCCTTGCTTACTCCATTTCAGCCACATGGGCTTCCTTGGTGTTCTTTGAACACACTCAGCATTGTCCCATATTAGGGCCTCTGAACTTGTTGGAATGTTCTTCCTTACTTCTATCCAAGTCTTTACTCAAAAGTTGCTATCTCAGAAAGGCCTTTTCTGATCTCTGTAATCTGATTCCCTGATTTATTTTTCTTTAGCATTTATCAATGTCATCTAATATACCATATATTTTAACTTATTTATATTACTTACTGTCTATCTTGCCCACAATTTAAACGGAGCAGGATTCTTTTTTGGTCCAGCATTATTGTACCCCCAATGTCGACATCAATGCTTTACTTACAGTAAGGATTCAATATTTTTTAAAGAAATGAATCATATATAACCCATTATACCAAAATAAGATTATCAGCTCATTCATGGCAGTAGGCTAAAAAATTTCATAGAAAATATGAAGTAATTATTGTACTCTTGCTTATAGTTTAACAAATGTAAGTAGGGGTTAAGAAAATGAGCACTCATACATGGCTGGTTGGAGTTTAATTTGATCAACCACTCTGGAGGACTATAACAATTTTTAAAAGTCTATAAAAATAAATAAACCTTAGGAATTCTGCTTCTCGGAATTCTAATATGAATAGCTATAGGATGCTAGGTACAGGCATGTTTATTTCAGAATAATTCATAATAGTAAACAGTCGAAACCTGAGAACATTTAGGTAAACTATGGTAAAGTTAAACAGTGGAATACTATGTAGCTATTAAAAAATTATGTTGTATTTTCATCATAGGAAGGTATTTCTTATAGATTAAGTAAAAATAGGTTACAAAATAGTAACTGGCTCTCTTTTAAAGTATAAATGTATAAAAAAAATCTGGACATATCAAACTGTTCATGACTGTTATCTCTGGGTTGTGAGATGATTTGTTTAGAAGAGTTTTTATTCTTATGCTTATCTTTTTTTTTAGCTTTTTAAAAATTATTTATTTATTTTTCTTCGAAAAGCTCTTCTGGAATATGCTTACCTTTTAAAAAATCATCTTCAATGAAGAGCTAATATTATATGAAGTAGCAAACTTTCCTAGACTGCTCGCCCTATCTCTCTTGCTTTATTTTTGTCTTAGTAGTTATCCCTGTCTAACATATTATACTTTTTACTTGTATTTATTGTCTGTCTACCACCACCCCTACTAGAAAGAAAGCTTCTTAAGGGCAAGGACTTTGTTTTGTTCACTGCTGTATTCTTGGAGTCTAGGAAAGTGCCTGGCGTATAGTAGGTGCCATAAATATGTGTTGAATAAATATATGAATATATTGTTTTTGTTATAAGGCAGAGAGTTATTATAAATAAAATTTTGGAAAAAATGCCACTAAAAATAAATGCTACATAGAAGATAAATGCGACATTTTAGAGCATGAAATTTTAATATCAGAAGGAGTTTGTTGTAGATAAAGAATTTTAATGAGATTTTCCCCTCATTTTTCAAGGTTTCTAAATATTCTTTACAGAAGAAAGTGAGTGAAATGGTAAGGAAATTACAAAATATATATATTTCCCCACCTGGATTAGTACATAAGGTGCTTAGTATTTTTGTGAATATAAATGTGACTTTTATAATTGAAAAAGGAGTAGTTGAAACTGAATGTTGCTATCCCCTTTAAAGGCCTGACTTGATTTCAAATATTGCATAAATGAATTATTTCACAAATTTATTTCTAGATTATATAGTGCTTATATAGGTTGAACATCCCAAATTCAAGAATTCAAAATTCAAAATGCTTCAAAATTGGAAACATTTTGAACACCAACATGGTGCTGAAAAGAAATGCTCGTTGGAGTATTTTGGATTTCAGATTTTCTGATTTGAGATGCTCAACTGGTATAATGCAATTATTCCAAAATTCATTAAAAAAGTCCAAATCTGAAACACTTTTGGCCCAGCATTTTGGATAAGGGATACTCAACTTGTATATTATAAAATTTTACACAGTTCCCCGAGATCTTCTGTTAAAAACAAACAACCAGGCCAGGTGTTGTGGTTCATTCCTGTAATCCCAACACTTTGGGAGGCAGAGGCAGAATGGTTGCTTGAGGATAGAAGTTTGAGACCAGCCTGAGCAACATAGCAAGACCCTGTCTCTACAGAAAAAAAAAAAAAGAAAAACACCAAACTCTAAAGTCTCTTATTTTAATGATATCTTTTCTAGGTATTTATACAAATATGTAGTTGTTAATTATAGCCTGAAAAAATTGAAATACATGAAGTGGTATTTGGGATATGGCACTCAACCTTTATCGTTCTACACATGGGATATGGTACTACACTTGGATGTAGTCCTGATCCTTTTTTGTTCAACAAGTGTTTATTGTGCATTCTTATTTTATAGTATATTAAAAATTAATATTTTTGTTTTTATAACATAACATTTTATGGAATATTTACTTTGATATTCTTCCTTTCTAGACTTGTTTGATTCAGAAGGATTTTTTTTTCTGTGTTTTTGATTGAGCAAAATTCTCCTGTATCTACCTAAATCTTCAGAGGGCATTTTGGGTGGGTTTATGCTAGTCAGTCTTCATTCTTTGAAACAATATATAAAGCAAGTAAAATTAATTTTTGAGTAAGGCTGATATATATTAATATATGAGAAGTAAGAAATGAGACATCACTCCTTATGACATTATATAAAGTGTTTTGCTTCTTGAAATTATTTTGGTATGTTAGAAAATAAAAGAGCCATAGAAAGATTGATAAGCTTGATTGAATAAAAGATGTGAAAATTCTGTTACTGTTCAACTGGAAAGAATAAAAATAATATTGTCAGACTATTTTAAACGGTGATTTTAATTAAGATGCTGAAAAACTAGATTCTGGTTTAGTTTTAAGTACCATGACATTTGTACTGAAAGTCATCTTCAACGCAACAGTGGTTTTACACAAAATATAGTGAAATTGAATAATGTACCCTTTGACCTGGGAGATAAGGCTACAAGTTAAAGATCAAAGGCAACATAAAATGTGTTTTATTTTATTCCACTTTAAAATTTCATCAAACAAATGCTTATAATCTTTAAAGAACATGGAAACTAGGAAAAGTTATCCTAGTTTTTGGTCACTTCTGAGCTTTTTGTTATTGTGATAATTCACAATAATAACCTTTATACCTACTAAAATGATTTTTGAGTTATAGTCATAATATTTTTTTCTGATAGTTCAAAGCATTACATCACTTTTCATTGAATAGTTTTATATATTGAAACATTTAATATTTTGTGCTTATTTTGGCAGAATGTTTTTTTATTTAAAAGTGAAAAGTAATATTTTCTCTAAACATTTTTACATATATTATAAAATAGCATTAGGAAGCTTTTAAAGTGTATGATCTCCCATAGGTGAGCCCTTAACTACTAGTAAATTTCTGTCTTCTGGGAATTCAGTAAGTTGATGTTCTTGTAGAGGTGGTGATATGTTCCTAGATAAGTTAACACAATCATGAATGAAAAGATTTGTCTATCCCAAAAAGTACCCAAACCTCCCCCTTGAAAAAAATCACAATCATTATCAATAATAAGAATGCAACAAAGCATGTTAAAGAGAAATTTTAGAACCTTAAATTAACCATCATAGTGATTTGGTCATTGATAAAAATCTTTCCTGTTGAGTTCAGTGATTACTATATAGATGACTATGTTGTATAATTGAATTTATAGGTTACTGTTGTATAACTGAGTAGCTAATACAGCTTAGTAAAGTAAAAACTTGTCAAACATCTTTAAGTATATTTTATTTCTCTTTTTGTACATCATTTTCCTCTAGAGAAAAGACTTATAAGAAAGATTTCTTTTTCTTTACTAAATTTAAAGCAGTTTCAATATTGAAGGTCTTGATGTGGTTTGAAATAACCCCATATTTTCTTTCAGAGTAGAATGTAGAAACTGAAAGACTTGTCTGGAAATAACTTCATGATTATAAATATGTATATCTGTACACACATATTAGCAGCATAACTTTAGATTTCTTAAGTAATCTATGCCTTATACTTGTGACTAAAAAGGGAAAGGTATCTTAAGGCTGCCATAGGTTTTTAAAAATTTTGTTTTATAATGCCATTGATTTAGTTCGCGTTCATATTGAAGAAATTAACAGGTAAGTTGCAAAACTGGAAATTAATATATGAAGTTTATTTTTGGATTGTTATCTTTTCCTCTGAAATTTACTCATAACAAACTGATTATTTTAAGGGAAATTAATTTTATCTCCAAAACTTTTCAAATTAGTCTCCTTAAGTAAATAGGAAAAGGGGGAAGCATGCATCTGTGTCTTTTATTAGTAAATATATTTCTAAAAATTTGCGTGTAAATATTTTAAAATTATTCCTATCTTAAATGCCTCAAGCCTTTAAAGTAAACTTTTTACTATGCACATACATAATTATGCATGTGCTGTCTGTTTTTCCTTTAATCTTGATTTTCATAGATTAGGTTTATTTAAAATGAGGTATGCATTTGTTTAGAAAGCAGTGAATCCTGACATCATTTTCTTGTGACTCTTTGATTTAGTAGTAAAATTGTGTAAAAGCAAAAAATAATTTGAATCAATTCATGGAAGTAAAAAAAACAAAAACAATATGTACTTAACTATTTCTTAGTCATCTCAATAAAGTAATCTTTACTATTATAATATATAATATTAAAGTTTTAACAATAGTAACATCAGTTTATTTGTATTCTTTAAAATGTTCTTTCATCTCTTGGGTGTGATTACTAATTACTTTTTTTTGTTGTTTCCCAAAGAATTTAAACTATTTGTTGATAGTCATGTGATTAGTAGCAAACTTGACAGCTGACCTCTTCATCTCATTATCAAAAGTAAATCAGGGGCCAGGCACGGTGGCTCACGCCTGTAATCCTAGCTCTCTGGGAGGCCGAGGTGGGCGGATTGTTTGAGCACAGGAGTTTGAAACCAGCCTGAGCAAAAGCGAGACCCCGTCTCTACTAAAATTAGAAAGAAATTAATTGGACAACTAAAAATATATAGAAAAAATTA